AACTCACCAATTCCCTTTTTCCTCATTCATAAGAACCTCGTTCTCTCTGTATACCAAAATCCAGTAACCCAAAAAATTAAAAATCAGGAAAAAAACAAAAAAAGAAGGTTCATTGATAGATACATATGCATCAAACACAACTATTATGAAATAAAAATCTAAAAATGGTACAGCCCCCAATGCCTAGCTCGAGTGGCAAAAGGTGGAGGATTTGTGGCTTAGGTCACAGGTTCAAGCCCCACACCATACAAAGCGAAGCCCAGTATTTAAGTGGAGAAGGGTAGAGGGGCGGGCCCATTGTGCACCGAGTTTAGAAGGCTATCATTGGTCCAAAGGGCGGGTCACAGACGGATTTCTCTGCTATCAAAAAAATAATAAAATAAAATAAAATCTGAAAATGGTACCTTCAGGAAAGGAATAACACTAAAACTCCAAAACTCTTCCTTGTATATGGCAACGGAAGTCTGAAGTTCGATTCTCTGAAAAATAGATATCAAAGAAAAATAAAATGAACACGCAGATGGCTATCCTTATAGATGCTACAGAAAGAAACTTTCCTTTCATTAGAAATAAATATGAGCAAAAGTAGTGACTATTTGGGGGGAAATGATAATAGTGCTTTTACTGTTATTGGATATGGAAATTTGGTGAGGTATTGAAGAAGGATTGTGGTGTTTTAGGGAACAGATATAAAATCGGAGCTCCAGGGAGAAGAAATAGAGCACCGAGGAAATGGTGAGTTTCATGCATTACTGGGGAAGATGCCATTGAGATATAGCTATGGGAAAGTGATGGATGCCATTGGAAAAAGAGAAGAAGAAAAAACGTTTGTGAAGAAGAAAGAGAAGGAAAAAGAAAAACAATAAAAACCTGGTGGTGAGGTGGCATCCACCTCACTCAAATGTCAGGCCATGTGGACAACCGTTAAAAAGAGGGGTATTTTTTCATACTTTGGTAACGGCAGAGACATAGTTGTCCCTATAGTATAACTAGTGAAAACCTTAACTAATAAATGAAAGTAGAGGGGTATTTTTGACCCTTTCCCCAAGAATGAAATAGTGCTAACAAGTGGAATGAATATAGAAGATACACATCAGCAACGCCAACTAATTTGGGATAAGGGCTTTGTTGATTGATTGGGTGATATATTTTAGGACCTACTAGTTTAGAATAGGATGCTTTTGTAAAGGAGACGCCGGTTGCAAAACAATGTTTTTCTGATGTTTTTCAAGCTTTATTTATGGTTTAATGCTACAGTCCTTGAGTTAATGCTGATGAAATCAACGGACTTATAAATCCATTTATCCTTCTTTATGTGTAATGATCTTACATTATTTCTGTCTTGTTTCTTGATCTTAGACGGGCATATGAACCTTATTCTACTAGATGAAGTGATACACTTTTTAGCCCTATTCAGTTTGAAGTTTGTTAGCACTTTTGAATCTAATTTTATCAGGCATTTTGGTAAATTTTGAGAACTTGTCTAGATTTTGATCTTGGGGTGACAGGCTGACTTTTGATGATTGACTCAAAAAGTAGGGTTGTCAACTAGATGTGCTCAACGGATTTTGTGTCTGACCTTATGTTGGTTTGGGAGGTCTAACTTAGTAGTGACTTTGTTTGGTGTCACTAATTTTCCTGCCTAAAAATCTGATACTGTCTAATAGAGACGATAATGTGATATCTTAGAGTTGATTATGCTGGCTTAACGGAGAAACTGTCTATTCACTACAGAATATAGGATCAGAAAGAAGTGAGGGAGTAGCGTCAGTTTATCATAGATATAGTACATCTTAATGTTTTTGTTTTTCTTTGGCCTTTGTGGGATTCTGCGGTAGCTCAAAACTTAAGTATCTCTGATGTATGACCTGTATATACTGAAAGCATCTTTGTTCTGTTTTACAGATACTTCCAAGGCATTCCGGAGGCAGTTTCAGAGACGGAGCAAAGAGGTGGCTGTGCATGCTAAGGCAGATGTAGCAATTGGAGTGCCATACTTAATCCATGTTGTTGCCTAATATTCCTGCAACCGTATCATAACTCTCCGGCCATAGCCATTCTTTTGTACCCACTATTATATACTACTATTTGATTTCTTCAGTGTTGTTTTGGGAAGAGAAACATCTTTTGTTACATTTCAGATACTGGAGGTAGACAAACTCAGGAGGATTTCACTTAGTATTGCAGTTGGCTTTGACAAAGATTGTAACTGTGCATCTTTTTTTTTTGCTCCATTGGGTGGTTGGATTTTATTGTATGTATTTTTCTACGTCTACGTATAATAATGTGTTGGATTGGTAACTGCTACTGTGCTTATTTTCAGTTACACCTAAATTACATGTAAAACCAAAAAAAAGAAATGAATTTGATTTTTTATTATTTCAGAGAATCATTCATTTTCTTTGTTGAAGAAAATTGAAATGAAAGAAATTCTAAAATAATAAGCAACTATTAGTTGAATGCCCCTCAAAAATTGATTTGCTTTCTACATGCACAGAGCGAATCACAAAATGTTTTTTTTTTTGTGTAATGCATGGTATTTTGGTAAAAGGGTCATATTACTATATATAATAAGTGAGAATATTTACTACTTAGCACATGACAAGTGTTACATGTGCTTAGATAGTGTTGTACATTCTTCTTTTATGGTTGTACCTTTAAAATTTATATATATATATATATATAAATATATATAGTCTAATACTATCATAAATAATGTAAATATATTTCCTCGTTAGACCATCTCTATTTTATCCTCTGTTCTTTATATTTAGAGGGTAAAATAGAGAATGTCTTCTTCAATTCATTTTTGTATTACTTTCTATTCTTCATTTATAGAGATAATTTGGAGAACTACTATTCGCTTCTCTATTTCACTTTTTGATTAATTTAATATTATTTATCTACTACTTAGCACATGACAAGTGTTACATGTGCTTAGATAGTGTTGTACATTCTTCTTTTATGGTTGTACCTTTAAAATTTATATTACTATATATAATAAGTGGGAATATCTACTACTTAGCACATGACAAGTGTTACATGTGCTTAGATAGTGTTGTACATTCTTCTTTTATGGTTGTACCTTTAAAATTTATATTACTATATATAATAAGTGAAAATATCTACTACTTAGCACATGACAAAGTGTTACATGTGCTTAGATAGTGTTGTACATTCTTCTTTTATGGTTGTACCTTTAAAATTTATATATATATATATATATATATATATATATATATATATATATAGTCTAATACTATCATAAATAATGTAAATATATTTCCTCGTTAGACCATCTCTATTTTACCCTCTATTCTTTATATTTAGAGGGTCAAATAGAGAATGTCTTCTTCAATCCATTTTTGTATTACTTTCTATTCTTCATTTATAGAGATAATTTGGAGAACTACTATTCACCTCTCTATTTCACTTTTTGATTAATTTAATATTATTTCTATTATATCATTAATTAAGTTTTTATTATTTTCTAATATAATATAACATCTAAAAATATATTATTGACAAGTTACTATTTTCATCCGAATTAATACTTTTTTTATTTTTAAAAAAATTGTTACTTTAAATATGTAATTTAAAATCATTTTAATATTATTTACATTATATAAGAATATTAATTGAGTCTTTAATATTTGTAATTATTTTCTAAGTAATATAACATCTAAAAACATATTATTGATAAGTATACTACTTCCATCCCAAATTAACAATTTTTCTAATTTGATTTTTTTTAAAAAATTCGTCACTTTAAATATGTAATTTAAAATTATAATTATTTTTTACTATGAAGAATGCACAAAATTTACATGATAATTCAAACAATCCACTTTTATGTTATAGTGTTAAATTATTTAACCACACTTTTTTAATGAACATGAAAATACTTGATGCAATAGTTCAAAATGGAATAGGAAAAGTAAATTAGTATACTAAATAATTGGATACACAAAATGAAATTGTTAGTTTAAACAATTTATAGCTATACATAAAAAAAAATAAGGATAAAAAGTTGCGTATTTTGAACTCCATAGTGCATTAATAGAGCATTTATGAGAGCAACGTAATAATCTTGAAAGTTGAATATTTATGTAAAATTAAAACAAATTTTATGATGATGCAATATTTATTATGTAATTGTATTTATCAATGATTTCACTTTTATTTGAATTGTTCGTTAATAATTTATAATATTTAGAAATTTAGAATAAAACATAATTTTAAATCAAATGTAAAATTTAAAAATAAAATTTTATATTACATGAAGATTATATGGTGATTATTTGCAAAAAAAAAAGAAAAGGAAATGATTTACATTATGAAATAAAAGTAAAAATGAAAATGAAATAGAATTAAATTCCTTTTAAGAGAGTAAAATAAAAAATAAGGTTGATCTGAAAAAATAAAAATCTTTATATTTCGAAAGTAAAATAAATAGAGAACGAAATTAGAAATGTCCTTAGAGTTTTAATTTTGATGATGATATATATGACAAACTTAAAATCAAATTACACACTCTCAATTTAAAATACCCAATTTCGTTAGGGGTAGGTTTTTGAGCTTGCGAAGTATAATAAAAAAAGTTATTTTTGGTCAGGGTAACTTGTTACTCCCTCTTATTCGTCCACTTTTGAATTGCCACACTTATTAAGAAAAAATTATGATTGATATAATGAGTTTTACTATTGAAGGTATAATAGATTAAAAAAAATTATCCTTTCTTAATTTGTCAAAATTGACAAATAATTAAGAACAACTGAAAAAAAGAAAAATGGATAAGTAATTAAAGAATAATAAACTAATGGTGAAAATCCATGCAAGTGGTGAAGATAGATGAACGAAAAAAATAATAATCATTATTGTTGTTTTCATCATTTACGACTAGAAGATGAAAGAGAGGAAATTTTGTGAAGAAAGATGAACGTTGTTGTTTACATTATGAAGGAATAATAGAGGAAATTAATTTTGAAGTTGAGACAAAAATGGGAGCGTCGTTAGCAATTGCGTTAAAATGTCTCTTCGCCATATTGGGATGTTTGGTTACAGGCTTCGTAATCTACACTGTCGCCATTGATGGCTTCTCGTTCGTCATTCTCTCTCTTTCTTACTGATTCTACTTGGATTTCATTTTTGTGAAAACGGTTAACAACAAATTACTTAAGCTTGAAAAAAATTGAGATTTTGACTTGTAATTAGCTCCATCTGCTTTCCAGATAATCTGAAATGAGTGTGATGAATTCTTGTAGGTTGACCACGATAGATTCTTACATCCATGTGTTTCTAATATGGGTAGCGCATGATTAATTTTGAGCTTCTCTCAATTATGAAGTCGATTGCATTTTATTTGCTACAGTTTCGTACATAATGTTTGAATTTGATATACCTACTATGTTAGAGGTTGGAGATTTGACTAGTATGAACCATTTCAGCCTTGCTTCCTGCATTTAGTCTACCACGGAGGCTACTTCCACTCTGCCTTGTATTTATTCGTTCCTAATCTTGTCTCTTCTAAGATGCTCGTACATCCATCTAAACATACTCATTTTTGCTACTTTCATATTCTGAATGTGCGAGTTCTTGACTGGTCAACACTCCATATTGTACAACATAATTGGTCTAACAACAACCCTATAGAACTTACTTTAAGTCTCAATGACACATTCTTATCACATAGGACATTGAATGTTCAACCTCCATTTCATCCACCCTGCGACATCCGATCTTGACATTTCCTTAGATTGTAGAATCAAGATACTTGAAGCTTCCTCTCTTGGGAGATGACTTGTGTATCAATCCTCACTTCCCCATCCATCGCCTGTGATGCTATACTGAACTTGCACTCTATGTACTTTGAACTAGTCCTACTCATCTTGAAGCCTTTAGACTCTAAGATCTGTCTCCAAATCTTCCGTCTATCATTAACTCTGCCACTGAGAACTGGAAATTTACACTTTAATAAGAGTCTCTGACGTTTTTGTCAATACTAAAGTAAAATTAGCATCTTACAGTGTGTAATTTTTAATCCTTAACTTTATGGTGAGATTTGATTTTTCTGTTGCACTTCATAGGAGCCCAAGTGCTTGTTACAAATGCTACTGTAGAATGTCATCCTGCAGTTTAACCAAAACATTGATTAATAAAATTCTAACCTGTAGTTGCGCGTTTTGTCTCTTTTTTTTGCTGGGGAGCATCTTTAAGGTCCTTTAGTTTTCAACTGCTTTGTCAACAATTTTTTTATTCCAAGACATTGGCCAGAATGCATCGCATATTGTTATGTTTCTCTGCTCTTATTTCTAAAAAGCAATTCTCTCATGTTTTGGTGTTGTGTTATCATATCAGTCCTGGGTTGTCTACAAGGAAGCAAACTGGATTACTGCAATACCTTGGGCGGTGTTGCTAGTATGTTTTAGAAGGTATGCCACCCTTATTCCTGTATATAAAACAGCTTTACCGACGATGACTATCTTGATTTTCAGTTTGATTATTCTTGTATGGCATCAGAAGGCCATGCTGTCATTGTCTTTCACAGTGTTCAATCAGTATCATGCATACAATGTTTGTCAGTTTGACACTATATATTCAGGCATGGCGATAGCGTTTTTTTTTATCCTATTCACAGCATTACTATATGTGGCTACATTCTATTGCAATTCCTGAAGCTTTCAACTCAGGAATCTTTACAGGATCCAGTTTACTTTGTCCTATTACAATGCCAGAAAAAGTGAGTAGATATTTACTCAAAGTTCGTCTCTTCTTTATAGTTTATGTATGCATGTCCAATTGTTTGAGGATACTCGTGAAACTGACATACCATGTCCAAGTTTGGTGTTTAGTCAGAGAATATGTGCACGTGTTATAAATAATTGTTGTTAACAAGAGATAGCCTTGTTTTTCCTTCAGTTTCGTATTGTGTCTATTTCTTTGTTCAGAGTAAGCAATCAGTGAAAATATCTAGAAAAATGTGGTTCACAACATTTAAAGAAATGGAAGAACATCTCTTCACAGGTCAAGACAATGGTGGCAACATAGCCTGTACTGCAGGTTGACATATTAAATTAAAAGCTAATTCTTTTTTACTTCTCGTTGTGCATATAATCATAGTGCTAAAGTCAAAGAAAGTAAAATGTGATACTTTGGCTTATCAAACTTTGGTGTTTTGTTCAAGATCCTGCAGTATACATTATCAGATCATGTAGTTATGAACTGTTAATAACCTGCCCTTGGCAGAAAATAATAGTACTAAAATTTAACTGATACAAATAAGCTTTTCTTTAAAAATAAAATAAGTGTTTCTTGGTGTTTGAAGCTTTCCTCATCAATTTATATAATGAGTGACAGCTATTTGTATTAGTTTTCTTTCTGAAAATGACCTTAACTTATAATAATCTGATGAGATTTTGTGATATAGGACTGAAACAGAACAATGGAGGAAGTATTCTCTTTTAACTGCAAGAATTCTATCTCTTGCTTTGGGCAGTTTGATGCTAGGGACACTGATTTACATCCTTGTAACTTATGGTTCTCCATTTCACAGAGATACTTTCACTCCGTAAGTTATTTGCTTATTTATTTGTTCCTACTTTTAATTAGATACCATCATATCCAAGGAGCTGCGATCTATCAGTTGCAAATTTGTTTGAAATTTTCTCTGAAAAGCAAACGTCACGAGTTTGTGATGAAGTGATACATGTGCATCCCCATACATCAGCCTGTATAGACTTGTGCTTGGTATAAATCTTTCTTTGACATGCAATTTGAGAAGTCAATATCTGTGCAGGTGGATGACAACAACACTAATTGATCACTTTGTCTTTGCTGTACCTCTCTCGGTAAGTTTTTCATTGTATAGCTACCTTTGCTCTTAATCTCATTGGTATTAAAAGATTTCTTCTCTCTGTGACTTGATAAGGAAGGCAAAAGTTTGTGAAATACAATACTATGTAATTATGTATGGCTATGGCATGCAGTAACTTGCCATACACTTACATAATACTACGTTACAAAATCGTTATTTAGGATTTTTCATGTGATTTCTTTCCAGGTCTGGGTTGCATATAAGGAATCAAGTTGGCTAAGTGCAGCTTTTTGGATCATACCAATTATTTTGTTTGGCAGGTACATTTTGATGTTGTATTTATCCTAGTATAGTGCATAAATGGTATCAGTTTGCAGTTAGCTTCATCGATATGTCATCTTTTTTGTTGCTCTATATGGGTGAGAGCAAAATATGATATATTACAACAGCTTTTTTCGGACTATAATTATATCTAATCCATGTTTTATGTTGATTTCCTCAGCACCATCACATGTGCCTATATTGCTCTTCAGCTTTTCAGTCTCTCATCTCAAGATCCCGCGTACCTTGTTCTTTTCAGCAGCAGCAGCAGCAACAGGCAAGTTTGTGCACCATCTGTTTATGCGTGTTCTCCTCATTATGACATAGATTTTGTGTGCGTATACCTGTGAAAATGCAAATTGAGAAGATATTACATCCTGTTGATTCTGCAGTTGCAACAATAATTCTTGTACTACTGCTTTTTAAGAAGAAAAAAAACCTCCCTGATATCCTTGTCCTAGTCAAAGTTGTACCATATTACAAAAGGTTTCTTTTGTTGGTGCAAGTGACTGAACAATCTCAAGACTGGTAACAGAATGGAAGTCTAGAATATGTAGTTTTTTTCTTTTAACTGAATATGGGCTACATTTCTGAATATGTGTCACTCAGGCTTAAAGGTAAGTTACAGAAGGGTGGTCAGACCTACTTTGTTGTATATATAAATGGGGCATAGTGTTGGTCAGTCAAAATCAGAAGATGAAGGTAGCAGAGATGAGGATGCTCATATGAATGTGTGGGGCTTATTATGAGAGATATGATTAGGAACTTCACGAAGTTATACAAGACAAGGTTGAAGTGGCTTCCCGTAGGGGATAAGATGACGGAAGCAAAACTAAAATGGTTCAGACATGTGAAGAGGAGGAGCGCAGATGCACTAATGAGGAGGTGTGAGAGGTTGACTATAGTATGTTTTAGGAGAGGTAGAGATAGGCAAAAGTAGAACGGGTAGGTAATTAGACAAGACATGAGACATTTTCAGCTTACTTAGCACATAACTCTAGATAGGAAGATTTTGAGGTCAAGGATAATGGTCGAAAGATAATATAGGTATTGTTGTATATATCTTATTCTTCTAATTTTCACTACTACCAAGTTATTTTGCTATTTGCTGCCAGTTTTTCTTTCTATCATGCTTTGATTATATTTTGTTTTGAGCCGAACGTCTATTAGAAACAACCTCCTCTGCTCCTCAAATATCTTATTTAGCTTTAGCAATTCTATACACATTATTTTATTTTATAATTTCCAATATTATTTTATTTTAGACTCACCTTGTGTTGTAATTGTTCTTATTAGGGAAGAAAAAGAGGGTATAAAGAAACCTCTCAAACAGACAGCATAGGAGAAGGTCAAATGAGCAAGAAGTTATATGGTTTATTTGATCATTGGACTCTTTCATATTGTTTTTTTCCTAATAAATATGTCAACAATATAAAGTTCCAATCTACATATGTTTGTGTAAAAGAACCAAAATGTTTCTTGTAATAATTATGTTACTGTTTGTTGTGGACTTAAATTTTGTTACATCTTTAGCAAAATGTATCTCCATGCATAAAAGTTAAGACAGCTTGTATATTTCATTGGCATAAAACATTTTGAACATGATTAGAAGAGTTGATAATTCAAACCCCTTTAAAGTATTCACACTTTTTTAGTTTAATACTTTAATTGAAAAGAATTACTTTTAATCCTTGACATATAGAATTTTCTATCTAAATATAATCTATTGCTTTGTCAAGTGGTATAGATAGTGATCTCAGTTTCTTTATATAGTGTGCGAGAGTAAAATAAAATAGGGCATTCACATAAATTGTTTAGATTGCTATCATTAGGACAACAACAATAATATACTCTATATAATTTTATAGGTAAGGTTTGAGTAAATTTATGTGTACACAAAGTAAAATAGTCTAAAACTAATTAAAAGAATAATAACAATAGCAAATAATACGATAATCGAAAATAGCAACAACAAGATGTAATAAAATCTCAGAGATAATACAACTAGTAAAGAAAATTGGTCACTACTTGATTGCCTTCTAACCGTTTATCTTAATTTTAATATCTACTATCTTAATCTTGATCTCCATACCCTCCTCGTAAGCTTCTCACATTTTCTCAGTAAGACAATCTTCTTTTCATGTACTCGAATCAACCTCACTTTCCTTATATTATTCAGTACAAAGGTAATCGACATTATCAAAAATATTTTTTTAGCAAGAATAACGTTAACAACCCACTCTTTAATAGCACACTAGATCGACATTTTAAGTTTCCCCATCCATATAAGGCTGATAATGGAGCGGATTGGGTTGAAACTTAACCCGCAAAAATTTCATCCAGTGCCGCTCCACTCTCCCCCGCCCCGCATGGTATGTTTTGTTTCGATTTTATTACGGTTGCAAATACAAGAAATTTTGAAGTTTTGACACAAATATTCAGTGGACGTGGAGCAATGGCCTTCTCACATTTTCTCCCCTTTTCAATACGCTTCCTTTCTCTCTTCTGCAAAACTCGAAGACGAAGAGCGAGTACTCAAAAATGGCAGCAACTTTAGCAATTGCATTGAAGAGTCTCTTCTCTGTGTTGGGATGTTTGATTACAGCCACCGTAATATACACCGTCGCCACTGATGGCCTCCCTTTCCGCATAGAACTCCTCACCCCGTATTATCCTTTTCTCTCTCTCTCTCTCTCTGCCATACTAATTCTACTTTGGATTTCATTTTTTTGGATTATTAATGCTTCTGTTTGGATGAATTGGGGTTTGAATCTTTATCAGTACCAAAAATTGTTGAATTATGGAAACAAAACGACAAAAACCCTATCTAAAAGCTTAAATTATTCAAAAAAGGATCACTTTTAGTTACATTTTTATATTTTGAACACCTAAACCTGGATTTCTTTCTCCTCACCTTTACTAACGCTCTGTTTGGATGGTTGTCAAGTATTGTTTCATAATATATCGTGTTATATTGTATTGTATTGTGTTATACTGTATGGTACTGTATTGTTTTAAGGAATACAATATTTGGATGTATTGTTTTAAGGAATACAATATTTGGATAGATTGTATCGTTCTCTATCGTTACATAATGTCACACGTCAGGAATTTGAGCATAAACTTACAAGAAAAGTATGGTACAAAGTAGTGTTAATATGAAAAGGTAGGGTAAAAGATAAAATAGGATTATTAAATAATATATAAAGACAAAAAGAGAAGAAAATATTAAAGTAATGACGCGATCACACCGAGTTAGTCGTTACATAAAATGAGACTTTTAATCGTTACCTAACGATGGATTTAAACGATACGATACAATAGAATTTAAGTAACAATCAAAACAAACATTATATTTAAATTAACAATATAATACGATGGGTAACAACCATCCAAACAAGGTGTAAAAGTTCAAGCTGCTAGAAACAAGACACTCCCTGGATTTCGATTTGTTTGTCATACTTTCTCTTTTAGTTCGTTTATACAAGAATGCTCCTTTCCTTTTTCAGCAATTCTTTAATTCTAACTTTGCACGAGGCTTGTTTAAGACCACAAGATTAAATGGTATTTGATTTATTTGACATATCTTTAGTTCAGAAGTTTCTTTTCCTTCCTTCAACTTGGTACCAAGTTAAAATAGGACAATCAATTTGAAACCGAGGGAGTAACTTTTTTTAGTTAATTATGTGTTATTTATCTTATAGTTATCTTTATGTGAAGTTGTTACTGCTTGGAGAGTCCAACACTTTTTTTATTTCAACTTTCTCAAATTTCTTTTGAATATTTTGAATCATTAGCTATGTTGATTTGCACTACTTTTCGTGTAGTTTACAAATATAGCAGTTCTATTTTTAAAAAAATGAAAAATCTATACCCGAATTCATACTCAAAATAAGATTTTTGACCCTTGTACTCCGACAGAGGAGTAACAGTTTTTTGAAAACAGTTAAGAAAAAGGAACTTACTTGAAATTGAGATTTTGACTTGAAAAATAGTTTAGTTCATCTGTCTTCGTGATGCTGTTATTAATACCACTTACCTTATAAAAAAAAATAGTTTAGTTCCACTTCCATCTGCTTTCCAGACAATCTGAAATGAGTGGGATGAATCTTGCAGGTGGATGGCAGCTACCCTGATAGATTTCTACATCCACATATTTGTTATATGGGTATGCCATGATTAATTTAATGCTTCAAAATGTTTCATATGCGAACCTTTATTCTGAAGTCGATTGCATTTTATTTGCTACAGTTTCACTAGCATTGGATAATAAGGAGAACATGTTGAATTTGGCGCACCTACTATGTTAGATGTTAGAGATATAAAGGGTATAGAAGTTAGAGCTATAAATGGTATAAGGGTTAAGATTCTCAGACATTTGTGCAATACTATAGAAGAATTAAGTTCCTATAGTGTGCAATTTTTAATCCTTAGCCTTAGGCTGAGATTTGAAGTTTGCCGTTGCACTTCATAGGAGCCCATGGGCTTGTGCAAATGCTACTATAGAATGTCATCCTGCAGTTTAAGCAAAACATTGATTAGGAAAATATCTCACCCTGTAGTTACCCTTCTTGGCTCTTTATTTTTTACTGGGTTACATCTTTGAGGTCCTTTGGGTTTCAATTGCATTGTAAACAATATTTTTATTCGAAGACATTGGCCAGAATGCATCGCATGTTACTATGTTTCTCTGCTCTTATCATCTAAAGGCAAAACCGCAAAAGCAATGCTCTCATGTTTTGGTGTTGTGTTATCAGTCCTGGGTTGTCTACAAGGAATCAAACTGGATTACTGCAATACTTTGGGTGGTCTTGCTAGTATGTTTAGGAAGGTATGCCACCCTTATTCCTGTATATATAACAACTTTGATGTACTTTTAGTTTCAGATGATGACTGTTCTTCAAGCTTTCTCTTAGCATCTCTTATATGACTGAATTCTTAGGTTGAATTTTTTCACATATTTTGAACAGTGTGACCAAGTTTATTCTTCCCTTGGTTAGTACTGTAGTACATTCTCGTGAAGAATGCTCTGATGGCTTGTTATATTTATTCTTTTAGGGTTATAGGTCTCTATCTGTTGACATACACTGTTTTTTGTCTTCACCCATGGGCATTACAGTCTTAGGATTGATGTTCCCAATTATTTATATCTCGTGTTCACTGCTATGAATTCCCTTTGCATATAGATATCTTCCTTGATGATATACCCAGTCAATCAATCAATCGATCAACTATACCTCAAACTGAACTAGGTCCGCGATTTGAATTCTCTACATATTTCTCTCTATTTGGGCCCACATCATTCCAATACTAGCTAGAAGTTTGTCTTGTAAGGCAAAGTTCCAGAAAATCTCTAAATGTCACACTTATGAACCTAATATTTGTGCAACAGCATAAATTAAGCCTCAATGCACACTAGCTGGTATTATAGATTTGGATCTTTTCTTCCATGTTGTTACTTTTTCAGATTTGCAATGATTCCTAGATTTTTTAGGTCTTTTCAGACAACCTCCATGTGATTTTAGGTCTTTCTCATCCCTTTCAGCACCTTCAATCACCATGTTACACCAGTTGACTGGTGTATATTTGATGTATTTTAGGTCTATCAAAGACGACTTTCTCTTACTATATCCTCTATGTGTGAAACTGCACCCTTTGTTTCAACGTATATTCAATTTTGTATGACTGCACATTTACCTTGATGTCTTTTGGCATCTTGTATTGCATAGGATACAAATTTTCTTGCATTCTAGTGGCGATGACTATCTTCCTTTTCAATTTGTATTATCCTTGCATGGCATCAGAAGGCCATATTGTCATTTCCCTTATAAAGTTCAATCAATATCATGCATAAATGTTTGCCAGTTTGTGATTATATATTCAGGGACGGTGATAACATTCTCTCTACTCCCTTTACAGCATTGCTACATGTGGCTACATCGTATTGCAATTTCTGAAGCTTTCAACTCAGGAATCTTTACAGGATCCAATTTATTTTGTCCTATTACGACGTCAGGAAAAGTGAGTAGATATTTGCACAAAGTTCTTTTTTCCTTCATAGTTTCTGTTTTTATTTCTCTCTTTGGAGACCAGAAAAAGAAAAAGAGAGAGTTCAATTGGAAATGATATTTAGTTCATATATTTTTATTTTTTTTGAGACGGTATTTAGTTCATATATTTTCATGTATGCATGTCCAACTGTTTGAGGATACTTGTGAAACTGAAATATCATGCACAAGTTTGGTGTTTATTTGGAGAATATATTTGCAAGTGTAATATATAACTGTTGTTAACAAGAGCTGACTCTTGTTGTTTTAGCTTCAGTTTCGTATCATGCCTGTTGCTTTGTTCAGAGTAGGCATGTAGTGAAAATATCTAGAAAAATGTGGTTCTCAGAATAAAAGAAATGGAATTACATCTCTTCACAGGTCAAGACAATGGTGGAAACATAGCTTGTACTGGGTCTGGCATATTTTTGTTCATTG